TCACTTCTTATCACTCCAAAGTAAACTGGGAACTAAAATAAGTTGTATGAAGTTCCCTGACCCCAAAGCTTAAATCCTGGCCATTTATGGTACAATTTGTGTTGCTGGTGAGTGCTAGTCCCTCAACCTGACACCATGTGGTTACTTAACTAGTGAGAGAGTACCATGGTGAGGGACAGTCACTGAACAGGCAGATAAAATATCTCTTTCAACAAATGGTGCTGGGACAACTGGATATCCATATGCAAAAGAATGAAGTTGGAGCCATTCCTCATACTATTCACAAAAATAAACTCAAAATTGACCATAGACTTCAATCTAAGACCTAAAACTTTTAGAAGCAAACAAAAGAACAAATCTTCATGAACTTGGGTTAGGCAATGGTTTCCTATATATGACACCAAAAGCACAAGTGACAAAAGAAAAAATTAAATTGGACTTCATCAAATTAAAAAAATTTTTTTTGCTATAAGTGATACCATCAAGAAAATGAAAAGACAACCTGCATAAAGGAAGAAAATAACTGCAAATCATATATCTGATAAAGGACTTGTATCCAGAATATGTAAAGAACTCGTAACTCGAAAATAAATAATCCAAGTAAAAATGGGCAAAGAATCTGAATAGACATTTCTCCAAAGAAGATTTACAAATGGCCAATAAGCTCATGAAAAGATGCTCATTAGTCATTAGGAAAATGTAAATCAAAAACACAGTGAGATACCACTTCGCACACACTAGGATAGCTATAATTTTAAAAACCAGGTAATAACAAGTGTTGACAAGGAAGAGGAGAAATTAGAACTCTCACACATTACTGGCAGGATTGTAAAATGCTGCAGCCACTGTGGAAAACAGTTTGGCAGGTCCTCAAACTGTAAAACATAGACTTAGCTTATGATCCAGCAATTCCACTCCTAGGTATATATACCCAAGACAAATGAAAACCTAAGTCCATGAAAAAACTTGCACACACAGAGTATAGCAGTATTATTATTAATAACTGAAAAGTAGAAACCCGAACGGCCATCTGGATGAATGGATGAATAAAATGTGGTCCATCCATACAACGAAACATTATTTAGCAATGAAAAAGAACTAAGTTCTGATTCACACTATAACATGGATGAACCATGAAAATATTATGCTAAATGAAAGAAGCCAGTCACAAAAGACCACATATATGATTCCATTTACATGAAATTGCTAGAACAGAAAAATCTATAAAGACAGAAGGTAGATTAGCAGTTGCCTGGAGCTTGGGTGAGGGGAGGAATGGAAAGTGACTGCTAATGGACATGGAATTTGTTTTTGGGGTGATGAAAATGTTTGAAACTGAGACCATGGCGATTGATGGTTGCACGACTTTGTGAATATACTAAAAAGCAATGAATTGTATGCTTAAAGGAGTGAATTATATGCTCTGTGACTCATATATTCATAAAGCTGTTTAAAAAATAGATGAAGAAAATGAAAAAAATCTGTGCGTGAACTCCACCAGCTGCCCTGCCGATTCATTTTGGAGGATACTGTAGCCACCACTAACTAACGCATATTAATGTGAAGCAGAGATTAAAGTGGAAAGCTTGAGTAGAACATGAAGAGTTTAGCCATCTTTGTCCCTGACAGACATTCATCCCCTAAGCATGGGGGTGGCTGGAAGACAGTCAAAGCTCTCAGTGACCATTAAGGACAAAAATGTACTTCCTTTATGCACTGACAGCATTAGAGAACTGTCCATTGAGAAAAATGAAAACCATAACCAGCCTCTGGAGAAGAGTGCTGCATAGATCCAGAATGGGGCTTTGGCTTCAAAGGCGAGTTGCGCCCACAGAACCTGTTGCTTTTCTTTCCATCACAGTGTAAGCGGTATGGAGATCTACAAGGCCTCTAGAGCAGTGTCGTGACATATCTTGAGCATATACATTAGTGACCACTCGGGCTCACTTGAAGTCATGCACAGCAGGTTTTTGCCTTTAAAATCTTGCTCAATTTCATGGTAAGGAAACTGAGGCAAGTGACAGCTCTCCTTAAAGCCAAAGCCTTCTAGAGAAAGATGGCTTGTCCAGAGCATTGTTCTCTCAGTCCCTGGCCACGTGCACAGGGGCCCCTGCCCTCTCTCCAATGTCTGTTTACAGCTGGTTAGACAGATATGTTGCACGCTCTGCAGGTGACCATTCTCTGCTGAGATGATTGACAACAGAAACTCTTCATGGGGATTAAAAGTATCATTGGGATGTAGAGTACAGCACAGAGAATAGGCAATAACATCGTAATAACAATGTACGATGACCGATAGGTACTACACTTTTCGCGGTGATCACCTTGTAAGGAATATAAATGTTGAATCACTATGTTGTACACCTGAAACTAATACTGTATGTCAATTATAATTAAAAATTAATTTAAAAAACTTTTTAATCACATGCCACATCTACTGAAAGTTGAGTCTGAGGGTCGTGAAGCTAACCAGCTGCCCCAGGGGAACACGAAGTAAGACAGGCAAAGAAGGAAAACTGCCATTTGTATTACTGTCTTCCTCCCAGGAAAATGTAGGCCAGCACAAGGAAGAGGAATAGGAAGCAGAGGAAGAGGATGGAGGGGAAAAAAAAGGAAATCAAACCAAACCGAAACACATCACAGCCTTGTCCTTGTCTTTGCTTGTCCCTTGGGTCAGGATAAGTCTTGTAGCTTAGAAAACCTATTTCTATGTGACTGGGAAACTGTAATCCTATCACAGAGATGAGTAAGTTAAGAAAACAACCATAAAATCACAAGTTTTTATGGGTGTGAGTGTAAATGTAAACATATCTCCACTTATATACATACAGAGATTTGAAACAGTCTCCAACCCTGCTCACACTTGTCTGTCCTACTTACTTCTGAACTGTTGGATGGGGCTTCATGGTTGTTACAGAAGCTGGCCCACCAATGGTGGTAGAAGGCTCTTGGTTTTCTGTAGCTTGATTTTCAGGTCGTAATTTCCTACGGATGGGCTTTGATGGGGGCTGAGAATATGTTATGTCCTGCAGATTAAGAAAAAAAACAAAAACAGAAAGTTAAAAAGTTAAATGCTCCCCAACTCATGCCAATGCCGTATGTTTCTCTCAGGCCATTCCCCAGGTCAGGCTTGGGCTGTGTCCCAACTCCACACGTGAGGATATGTGGCTGATTCGTGGCTCGGTAAGAATGGGAGGGACACAGACATCAGATTCCAATGGCCTTTCTTCTTTTTTTCATGCTTGCAGCATACTACCTCTTTTTGTCACCTGGAAGGACACAGGAATCAGAGTCTAATTGCTTACCCTTCTTCCTTTCTTTTCTTTTTAAAATGCTGTGTGCGCCTCACACCATGGAGCCTTTTCTAACTGAAGACAAAATTCGCTCTTGCCTCATTTTGGGGCTTTTTGAATTAGTTATAAGTTCTCTAACAGTCTTAGTCATAATGCTCAGCATTCTCCTCCCCCCAATTCCTACATGAAGACAAGCTCAAGGGTCACAGTGTCTTCTGGAAGGAGACAGCTGGCCTCCTTGAAGGAGACAGAGGCCCCTGCCTCATCTGTTTTCCCAAGCCCAGGGCCTGCTCTCTGTCATGAGAGAAGGGCCTCAGAAAATGGGGAAGGACAAGAAGAGGGTGAGAAGATGAGAGGACAGGACAGTGAGTGAGTGGTGCATACTGAGTAAATGACTCAGTGACACAGGTGGGCTGAGGTGAAGATGCTGGGATGCAGAGGAGACCACAGCACAAAGACATAGGTAGGGGTACTACCACACCCCCAAGAGGTGCTCCTAGAAGATTAGCAGTGTGCCAGATTCTGCTAAAGACATCTGCCCTTCTCCATCGCACTCTTTGATCTTGACAAAAGCAAGGTCGCCATATTTAGTTGGGAGGTTGAAGAGGGAAGTACGTACAGACTGTCAGCAACATCAAGGTCCAGCCCAGGAACCATCAGGACCCATCTCCACAAAGAACCCAAATTCTAGAAAATCTGGGTCATTAACATTTATGTCAGGACATGAAAACCTTAAAACAGTAGATGCGCTAACAGAGGCAAAAAGCCCAGGGGCGGGCTCGTGATGCCGTGATTGTGGCACCCTCGTGCTGGCCATACCTTCTTTGTTGGACTACTCTCTGCAGCTTGTGACGGGGCTCTGTTCAGCTGCGGATGTAACTCAGCCTCAGATGCTTGTTCAGACTGCAGCAAAAGATCAGAGAGAGGATAAAAATGCAAAACGATAACCACCCAAAAACATAATGAAGAACATGTAGGAAAATAGTCACTACAGGGAAACCTGACTTAGACCAAGTTGCAGCCAAGCATGAGCAGGTCTGCTGATCCTTGAGAAAGCCTTCCATAGACCCTGATCCTCCCGGCATTGTTCAACTTTAAGAAAAGGAGTCAGGTGATGTCATCTATAAGTGGATATACATATTGCTAAAAACTAACGCTTCGTAAGCTCAAACTAAAAACAACAAGGTTTACTGGAGAAGCAGGGTTGGGAAAGAAATTAAAAATTTAACCCCAAGCACTAACAAAAACAATAATCATACCAAAAATCACTGAATTAAAAAATACATATTAAATTCCTAGTAAAGAAACACTCCAGTAGACATGACTCTTCACCTTAAATAAGGTGGGGGGTTAAGCATGATGGAAAGGGTGAATGGGGGGTCGCAGCTGCTGAGTGAACATTCACAAAGACAGGCGAGGACCGCCCCCGAGGCCCTTCCACACAGAGCAGGCGCCAAACAGCCCAGCGCAAGACTCAGGAAGACAGGGTGCCAGGCCTCCCCGTACTCCTAGAAGTGGCTACATTCAGCTGTGCTACAGTACTCTGCTATCAACCAGTGATACAAAACATTAACATGCTTTGTGAACCAACGCGATTTCCATGTGATACCGACATCGGTCCTCTATTTACCCACAAATGAATCTGCATTATAGAAACACACATAATACAAGAACCAGACTGACCCGGCCATCTCTAACCTCTTGTGAATGTGGCCTTTCTTCCTGACTCTGCTGAAAAGGCTTTTCCCCAAGGGAACTACTGCTCTCCCACTTAGCAGATTCTAGCTGGCTCTCCTAGTCTTCTCTAGACCTTCTGCCCAACACAGTGCCCTTGCCTACCTTTTAAAACTCTGACCCCTGGCATCAGATGAGCTATGCAGTCTCCTGCTTATGATTCTTTCCTGTTGACTCCTCTTAACCCTCAGATGTACGATTCCTCAAGGTTCTGTCTTCAGTTCCCCTGACCCATTTTTCCCTCCCTGCTTATTCTCTCCCAGAGTAATCCCATCTGCTCCTAAATTTTCACTGCCCTGGCTAGAAACCTCGGTTCCCAACCAACTCCCCACCTGCTGTGCAGGCACTCAACATGCCTGATTTCTCCTTACAACTTTTTCTCAGTGCCTTCTCCTTTCCATTAAGGATAATTGCATCTGCATCATCATCAATCATCATCATCATCATCATCATCATATACTATGAAACACAGAACACTGTGTGTCACACATCGCCCTAGGCGTTTTTGCGTGGAATACTGCATTTCATTATCACAGCCTAGAAAGTAATTACTGTCCCCATCTTATCAGTGAAAAAATTGAGGATCAAGAAGTAAAGGAACCCACCCTAAGATCACACAAATAGCAGGGTCTGAACTCAGGCCTCAGGTCTGAAAGCATTGTGACCACTATGCTCTACAGTCTCAAGTACTCTTGGGCCAAAAATATTTGACCAGCTACTGCAGGCATGCCCTATGCCTGCACTGGTATTAATCAAGGATGAACAAGCCCCAGGCCTTGCTTACAAGGACCCTGAAGTCTAGTGGGAGAGGCAGAGAAATGATCGGGCAACTATGCTTCAGTGCAATTAAGACAATGGTGGGGATGTGTGGGGGCTCCAGGAACACCCAGGCTTGCGGGTCAGCAAAGACTCAGGAGGTAATATCCCACCTGAGACCTGAGTGATAAGCAAGGTGCAGCTGACCACAGGGGCACTGCATGGGGATGCTGAAAAAGAAGGCTCGAAGGGCCTCCTATGCTCTGACACCCAGAATGTCAGTCTGGGATACCACAAGAACACGGAGGCCAACACCCAGGATGGGAAGCAAGGGAGAAGGATGTGTGAGGGGGAGCTCACTTTTTTGGCATATGGGAAACATCTCAGTGAAGCCATCCAGGAGCCATTCGCTGTCGGGAGTCTGGGTGACACAGACCCATCTCCCTGGGGGTTCTGACAAATGGTGTCTTACTTCAAGATGTGCCAGCCTAGTGTCATTTTTATTAATGGCCAAGAGCCCAATAAACCCCCAAATGCAAGGCTTCCCATGAACTGTGGTAAAGAATTGCAACTTGGACCCAAGGCCCCTTCTTTCCTTCCACACAATTATCTATTGCTTGGAACACCTGTGTTCTGACCCCAAGTTTAAATGGCAGCCCCTTGCAGGGACCATAGGTGTGCATCGCATGACCCACTAGTCAGGCAGAGAGAAAAGTGATAGTCGCCCTGCCTTTCAATAGGTCGCCTCCCCTCTATCGTCAGGCAGATAGAATCATTTGCCTTAATGCTCCCTTTCCTGGGGAGATGAGTAAAGTCTTCTTGTGGAAATATTAAGAGAGAAGATAAATTGGGTCCTCTTTTCAACAAAAATGAGGATCCAGAGCACAGCAAAAGTAGGAGAGGGCCTTTGTCATTGCCTTCACTTTCTCTTAAACTTATCTGTAAAAACACAAACAACAATAAGCTGAGGGTTGAGAAGGAGAAGGAAGCAGAGTGAGACATATCTAAATTTTTTTTCGTTTATAAATTTACCTTCCTGAAACAGCATCCAAGGGCCTGGGTTTTCTAGCTCTATGACTAGTAGCAAACAACTCCTTATTGTTATGTCAGGCTGGATGTAAACATCAATCTCCTTACAAAGAAACTCAAGACCTCCCCACCACCTTTCTACTGCTCCACGACTGATTCTAAATGGGTTGGTTAGTTGAATGTTCAGAGGAGTGAATCTTGTGAGGGGTCTGGAATGTAGGAATCAGGAAGGTCCTGGAAAGGCAGAACCTCACTGGAGCCAGAAATTATCCCAGGAAGAGAAATGGGGAAAGAAAACTAGCTATGTGGTTTAAAAAAAAAATGAGATTTAGACATGCAAAAGCCTTTCTTCCCAATAAACAATTTCACTTTCCTTCATGAAAATGGTATGAGGCTTACATTAGATTCAGCAGCCGGAAAGCAGAACAAACCAGGGCGATTTCTTTGCTTTTCTTCAGACTCTTCTAAGTTAACGATGTGGGGAGGATGATAACCCATAAAAGCAGGGGGGCCTCGGAGGCTCCCTTTTGCCTCTATGTATTAGAGAAGGGCGGGGGAACAACTCTGCTATCAATATGGACAATATTCCCTCATCCAAAAGTTTGGGTTGTCTGAACGGAAATCCAAGGCCTGAATCTTGTGAAAGAAACAAATGTTTAGACTACAATATTGCAAATGGCACTCCCTCCCTCATGGCTCCATGTGTAACATGTACCCAGGCAGGATGTGGCAAGCCAGAAAAAATGTACTTTTAGCCAAGAGCTCATTGAAACTCGAGCTAAAGTTCCTTTAAAAATATGTATCTCATATTTTAATATTAATACTCTACCTACAAAGGAGAAATATATTTTCATGCTAATTTTGTAACAAAAAGTCTGAATAGGTCACGTGAACTTGGAAGGTGCTGCCACCCAGGATGGAGGAGGCTGCTCTGGGGCTTTGCCTATTCCCATGGTTGATGGGACCACGTGGCTCCTAATCAGCTGGCTCCCCAGAAATGGATGTAGGCCCTGGGAGGCTAGCATTTTGATTCTCTGCCAGAAGAATTTATTCAGTTATTCAATTATACAGACATCTATTTCATTCATTTGATGCGTCATTTTCCAAGAATCCTCATCTCAGGTTCTGCTTCTAGGGAACAGGACAGAGACACCAGGCAAAGTGAGGAGTAAAGCACTTTAGGATGCTCCTCCTTGGTCTCTCTCTCAGATCGCTTGTTCTGGGGGAAGCCAGCTGCCACACCATGAGGACACTCAAGCAGTCCTACCAAGGAGCCCATGGACAAAGGAAGGGAGGCCTCCTGCCAATGGCCATGTGGGGAAAACATCTTAGAAGTGGACCCTCCAGCCCCAGTTGAGCCTTTAGATGACTATAGCCCTGACCGACATCTTGACTGCAGCCGAACAAAAGACCCTGAGCCGGAACCACCCAGATTAGTTAGTTGTTCTTGAATCTCGAACCCACAGAAACTATGAGATAACAAATGTTAATTATTTTAGGTCTCTAAAAAAACCACTCTAGTATGTCTGGAATTTGGGGTCTAGTAGGGTGGAATAAGTGAAGAATGGGAGAGCTGAGGCTGGAGAAGGGCAATGGAATGGATCATACATGATCCTACAGATCATCGCCCTGGGTCGTGTGTTAGCCACTCAGCACTGTTTCTTGCTTCTATGCTCTTTCCTACACTGCATGGGGTAGAAGCCTGGGAACTACATTTATAGAATCTCCTTTCAACAGAGTTCCTTGTTGCCACTGAGAGTCACGCACATGAAACCGAGGTGAAAGAAAAGCCATGTTATTCCTCCTCTGGCAGCTGTGGGCAGAAAAGCATGGGTTTCAGCAGTCAGAAGGTCTTGTAGTGGCCTCAGCATTTCCCCGCAAATCACTGCTTATGTGCTGCAGATAGCCTGAGCATCTTCAGCTGTTTCCTTCAGTTCTTGAAATGCCTTAACTCTCAGAAAATTGCAGCAAACCTGATAGTGGTGGCCTTCCCTCATCTTCTTTCCTCTAGCACATCTAATTCTTTTTGTTTAAGTACCAAATCTCTTGAATGAAATCTCTTACAGTGTGAAATACCTAGAGCAATTTCTGTTTTCCTGACTATACACTGGCAGACACATGCCTGTTCAGGATTTCAAACTTAGCCTGAGGGCCACAGGGCACCCTGAAGAATTTTAAGTAGGGAAGTGATCTGACAAGATTTGTATTTTAGATAGATTAGTCTGGATCCAGTGAGTAAAATGGAATGGAAGCAACCCGCACTGGGGGAAGGGAACTCAATTAAAAGACTAAAGACTAAAACAAGAGAAGAGATGATGGTCTTTTAAATCAGTCTGGTGGGAGTGGGGATAGGCAGATTTGAGAGCTATTTGGATTGGAGACTG